AAATGTCACCTTGTTGTATCCTTGTTCCAAATTTTCCTGCTGCATGATAGAGGCAGTGCCCATTTTAAAGAACATCAAAGGGAAACAAAGTCTAGTGCCCTCTTTCCCTCATTTGTTAATTCTAGTCTTGGTGGGGTGTAGGATGTGTTCAGGGAAGACTAGTACCTCTGGGGTGAAGGCTGCCAGGCCCTTTTCAGGGCTGATTTCCAACCTTGGTGTCCACCTGTTCCAACTAACTCTCACCTGTGCCTCCAAGAAGATGTAGCATGTGCAGCTGCCACACTTAAGTAAACCATTTCAGTAGACGGGTTAAACCAGGTTGAGGGAAACTGAGGGGTCTCAAACCCGTTGGCAAGTTAGGGGGTGTCTACTCCAAGTACATGAAGACTTCCCCTGGTGGAATGGGCAGATGAGAAAAATTTGTTCCAAAGGCCATGAAGTCAGCTGAGGCAGGTGCTGTGGAGTGCTTAAATCGAAGATGTCAAGGTCATCCACTGCATCATGAGCCATCACCAGTCATCTTGATTCTGTCCTGCACCTGGACCGTGATGACTCTGGAGGAGAGAATGAAGTCAATGACTTTGTGCAACTCTGCTTCACTTAAATCCAAATAGTGCACAAATCTAAAGACATCACCCACTCCATTTTGCCATTTTTACCTATCTCAGAGTCCTGTGATGACAAGCAAGTAAGTGATGAAGAAGCAGGTATGGATACATGGGGAGCTGTAGTCACAATCCTGCACACAAGCAGCCCAAACCATAGGGTCTTTTATCACTGGAAGCAGCAGTGGGATTCAGCAACCCCCTGGGTGTCTGAGCAGCCTTTGAAGGATCGCACTGCTCACCTCCTGGTGGGAGGAAGGGGCTAGAAAAGGTGCCCTAAAATGATCTGCTTCAAACACAAAAAAATGTACAAAAATCTGCAAAGGTGATTCCACTCACCATTGGCACATGGAATGTGCAGACAACACCAAATCCAGTGGACTTGAAAAATGAACAGCTCTTGTTGCAAGAGACCTCAGCAGGTATCACATCCAAATAGCAGCTCTGAGCAGAATAAGGTTGGCAGATGAAGCCAGCTTACTGAAGTTGGAGCTGGATGCACGTTTTTCTGTAGTGGCCGTCATGAAGGTGGCATAGGTTTTGCAATCAAAGTTAATCCAGTTAACAAGCATTTATGCAAAAAGAGTGACTGACAGGCCCATGACAATGTAATTACCACTTGCAGTTCAACGCCATGACATTCTCATCAGTGCCTCTGGTCCCACCATCATGAACCCTGATGAGGTCAAAGAAAAAATTTATGAAAACCTGGAGACCCTTATCATCAGTGTGCCAAAAACAACAGTGGAGTCCCCAAGGCAAAATGACTACCAGAAGAATTAATGTCAACAGATTAGAGTTGTTCTTTCAATGGGAACAGTTTGTTGCTAACTTGGAGGGAAAGTTGAGTCAACACACAATTGGCAACAGTGGAGCAGAAAAGGAATGAGCAGCTTTCAGAGATCTGGTGTATAGTGCTGCATTTGCTCATCTGGGTCTGAACACTCACAAACATCTAGACTGCTTTGATAAAAATGATGGGAAATTCAAAACTGCTTAATGAAAAATGAGAACTCCACAGGGTTTACCAGCGGGATAGTTCATCCATCTCTAAGAAGGCGGCATTTAATTCCATCAAAAGTGAAGTACAAGCAAAACTTCGCCTCAGAGGTCTCCAGATTGAAAGTCTACAACAGAAACAATGATCTTCCCAACCTGGTTCTTCTACCTCCTGGTGCTCTGGGTCCAGGGTGAGATCAACCATAGATGTTAACAACTGCTACCTTGTGCTAAACCAGGAGACCCCAAAACGTGGGAATTGAAAATGGGTTGGGATAGGGGAGGGTCATGAGAGGGTAGTTCCTACAGTAAGTGGAAAGGACACTTCATGTCAGGTCAGTACTGGACGTGCTTCTTGATTCCAAGCTATTTCTTCTCATTTTCTTTCCTCCACCCAAGGGTCCTGGGCAGCCATTTTGCTGACCCATTCTCCATCTTCTCTGACTGTTGCTCCTGGAGAAAGAGTCCCCATCAGCTGCAGAACCAGTCAGAGTATTTACAATGGGTTAGCTTGGTACCAGCAGCTGCCAGAACATTCCCCCAAGCTCCTGATCTATGATGCTTCCACCCTGCACTCTGGGGTCCCTGCCCACTTCAGTGGCAGTGGGTCTGGGACAGATTTTACTCTCACAATCAGCAGTGTGGAGGCTGAAGATGTTGGACATTATTACTGTCAGCATTATTTTGGCAGCGCTAACCCACAGTGGTGCCCTCCTGAATAAACATCTCCCCAGGCTGTTCAGATCTTTAGCTCAGGAGACCAGCTGCTTCCTCCAGAGCCACCACAGAGCCCTGGGGAGGGCTGGACCTAACAGCCCAGCTCTGAGGGCCACAGATCCCAGTGTCTCACATCCTAGAAAGGGCTAGGGAGTGAAAAGAAAGAAGACGAGAGAGAACCTTCTCCCACCTCCCAAGTCAGGCTCATGACCACCTCCAAGGTACCTCAGTGAAGCTGGTCCCCTTCCTTACTCCTTGACCCCTTACTATGGAGACTGCTCACA